GTGCAGAGGAGCGTTCCCAGACTGTTGCATCTTCTGAAAAAACAACAACTTTATATATATATTTTTCTACACATAAAAAGCTAAATATTCATTAAAATCCTCCAGATAAATGTATTCACTTGACTTTATTAAAATTGCAAGGGAGACCTTGTTGATATCTGCTCCCAGTTTGATCAAGCTGACTGTAATATCCTTAAGGAGGGTCCCTGCAGCCATGTGCAGGGGTGTCATCCCACTGCTGTCCTCAGCGTTGACATCAGCACCAAAACAGGCCAGAATGTGGACAGCAGACTGCGCCCTGTAGCGTACTGATAAGTGGAGCGCAGTCTGGTGACTTGTTCCCTCCGTCTAGACAGGAAGAACAACCACAACAAAGAAAGAAAGAAGAATTTTAAAATGTTTTTATTACCAATATTTATTTTTGAGTTTCAAGCACTGGATCAAACTTTTATACATCAACAGTTTTATTTATTTCAGTATGGATGTTGAAAAAGCTTCTCACTTGTGCGTTGACGTCAGCGCCGTGCTCACAGAGGAGTCGTAAACAGGTTTCAGCGGTCTGGAACTTGGAGTTTGATTTGGACGAGTTGGTCTTTATGGTTGGCCAATCAGTAATCACCAAGTGTAGTGGGGTTCGACCGAGGTGGTCCCTGTAGTCCAGAATCAAACAGAGCAAGATGCACGTGTTATAATAAAGCAATTAAATCTGTTGTATCTTCTCTGGGATCACTTTTAAGTCACCAAAAATGTATTTAATATCCTTGAGTATTACTCAGAACTGCTTAGTTGTAAGTTAAGGTGTTTGTAAATAATCAGGTAAAACAGTTTGATGTAAGTCTTGTTTTTGTGCTCATACTTCAGTTCAGTGTCGGCTCCTGCTGACAGCAAACTCTGCATGCTCTGTGCTCTTCTGTAAGAAGCCGCTAGATGAAGAGGAAACACAGCAAAACCCTAAAAATGAGAAGCCAAAGCAAAAAATGTTGAAATATTGAGCTGAACACCGAACAAGGAAGCTTTTTATTTTATCAACTGAAAGATCATTTGAGTGTGAACACCTAAAACTAATTTAATTGATGAGCTTCTTGTTGATAGCCCAGTTTTTATTTGTTTTTATTTATGTAGTTGTAGTCTGTTTTTGTTTTTAATGTAGCAATTTAGTTCCAACAACTAGTGCAGACAGATGGTTTTGTTGTAGTTCTTACCTTCCATAGAACCCCTCCACACGCACCATCCTGTGTTTCCATCAGGAAGTTGCTGCCGTACTTCTTTATTATGTCATCGAGGTGACCCACGTCTTCGTCTACAACAGCCGTGTAGAACTCATTCTTGTAAAACCTGCTAACGTTACCTCCCTTGTCTGTGTTTTTGATGTGCTCTTCCAGCATGACCGGGTACCTCAGACCTGCTGCTCTCTGTTTCTTTAGAAGATGTTTTAAAAGTTTAAATCTTGTTGTTCTGTTTTTCTTGTTGCTGTTATTTTTTGAAGCAAAGAGGAATTTCTGGCAGAAATAATAGTTATTTAAAAATTCTAGAGTGCAAGTTCCTAAATGCTCATTAGCTGCTGTACTTCTCTTCCTTGTTTGGTGTTTTTTTAATCAGCTAGTTCTGTTTTTACTGCTTGCTGTTTTGAGTGTGACTTCATCACGTCTAACTGATGTATAGCATTTCTGTTCAAACTGATAATTTGTGGCTGCATTCGGGCCCCTTTATGGGGACTCTGTTGCTGTTTGAGTCACTTGACTTGTTTTTTGAGAACTGGTATTACTTTGTTCAATTTAGGGCTGCRACGATTAATCGATTAATCGACGACTCATCGATTATTAAAATAATTGATGACTAATTTAATAATCGATTAATCGTTTTTTTTTTTTTTTTGTTCTTTACTTTGTTTTTCTCTCCAAACTGCTTTGACACCTTCCACTGCCACATCTGCCTTTCTGTCCTTGACACACATGCACAGTAGTGGTAACTGGGGTAGGCCGTGAACGTCACAAGACATTATACAGACAGGCTCTGGTATCATGGCTACCCAGCAACAGAGCTCAAAAGTGTGGGATCATTTTAAGAAAATGAAAGAGAAACCTGTGRAATATCTGCAGAGCAGAACTTACCTTCCACAGCAATTATTTTTAGTTAGCAAAAAGCTAAAATCTAACCATGGTTATATAATAGCAGCTGCATTCTGACGTGATAAGCTCTTTTATATATGTTATATATTTTATAAATGTTTTATATTCAATTAACGTTTGATCCTATTAGTCGACTAATCGAATAAATAATCGGTGATTAATCGATTATTAAAATAATCGTTTGTGGCAGCCCTAGTTCAAATATTGTTGCATTTTATTTAAACACAAAAACTTGAACACAGTATTGTCACATTTTAATATGTAGCTGATTAGGATTTGTTAAAAGAGAAGCTGGCCTTTTTTTAAAGTCGCCTTTTTTTGTTCTTAGTGTTTTAGCKTCTGCATCATTGTCATGAGGCAATGTTGTGGGGTAAAAATATAGAGGTAGAAAATGCAGTATTATGTTAATTTTTTGCTCTTTTTTAAGCTTTGTGGAATTAATTTTACCTGTAAATATTTTTGATATTTTCAAACTTATGTATTTGAACAATCCCAATGTTTATTTTCTTTTTCTTAGCCAAGGAACATTTTCCTCCACGGTCATGACTGTCATGTTCGGATCGGGGACTTTGGTTTGGCCTGCAGGGATATAATAGATGACAGTAAAAGAACATCCTCTTCAGGCAGCGGTATCGTCTTACCTTTTGGCTTATGGTTTAAAAAAAAACAAAAAAAAAACAGTTTCTCTAATATTCACCAGGAGATGGCACCATTTATCCTGAAATGTCATTTCTTCATTTTGCAGATTCGACTCATACTTCCGGTGTCGGTACCTTTGTGTATGCTGCTCCAGAACAACTGAAAGGCTCCAAATATGATTCACAGGTAAACACAGTACAGCTGCTTGATATTGAATAATTTTGCAAATGGTGAATGAAGTTGCATCTCTTTCTTGACATTAAAAAAATAAAAACTTGAAAAAGACTGTCAGTGTTTTCTTGCAGTCAGATATGTACAGCGTCGGAGTTCTAGCCTTTGAGTTGTTCCAGCCCTTTGGGACGGAGATGGAGCGAGCCCGGACCCTTGGGGACCTGAGAGAAGGGAAAATTCCAGATCAGTTCTGCCTCAAATGGCCACTTCTGACCAAGAACATCATGAAGCTGATGAGTAAAACGCCCAGTGTTCGACCCACAGCCAGGCAGCTCTTAGAGAGTGAACTCTTCTGCAAAAAAGACATGGTAGTCTTGAAAGAACAAATGTGCTCCATATTTTTTTTCTTTTTTTTGTAAAATAATGTATTTCTGTGTTTCTTTTACAAAAACCTAAAAAGTCTAGATTTAGTGTTTTTAAAGTTTTAATCCAGCTTTTTTTTGCAGAAAGGTTTTTAAGAAAAAAATGTGTTTTTCTGCCCTCAGGTCATCCATGGTTTGCAGCGAAGGGTTGAGGAGCAGCAAGAAGAGATCATGCAGCTGAGGATGCAGATCAGTCAGCTCCAGAGCTCAAAAGTCACTGTTACTTTCTCTGATTCAAACAGCTGAACTTTAAACACCTGAAACTTTTATTCAGCCACTACGCACTGTTTAACTTGCAGCACACGGCTGTCTTTCATCAAAGAGCAGCTAAAACTTTGGGACTGTTAATATTGCTTTAAATCTGAAAAAGTGACCTGCATGTGGGACTGGTTTTTGTTTTTGTGCAGCCTGTTTATCCAAAYGGTTTGAGTTCTCCATTGTCAATATAGAAAGTGATCTTTTATTGTAAATATGTTTTGATGCATTTATATTTAAACTGTTCTCTGATGTAAACTCTTAAAGGTGGGAGGTGATTTGAATGAATGGATGTAGAAATAGAGTGCTATTTGTTGAGTTGTGTGAAGCTTATAAAAGCTCTGAGTACGTTTTGTCTTTACAGTATTCACGTTTCTGTGTTTGCGCCGCTCATAAGCTCATGTGTTGTACACAAAGCACACTAAGGTCAGAGTTAAATACAGGCCGTGGATCTTCCCGAAACACGTTCCGAGATGCGAGCCAATCACAGAGCTCGATACATGTCAGGTACCCGGATGTACCCGTTGGGTAATTAGCTACGTCATTGTTCACCACCGGACACCCGCAGGAAATAAGAAATGGATTTAATACCGCTATTAACGTGTTCATAACAGACTCCAGGTGAGTTCTGAGCTGCTTTTATGATTGGAGATCACGCGGAGCGTAAAGCCAGCACGTTAAAGTAGGTTTAAACTGCTTAGATTCGCTGTAGTAGTCCTACACCGGTTCTGTGTCATGATGTCGGCAGAGCAACGCATTAAGCACGCAGCCGCCCGGTATAATGTCTTCCTGTCTTAGTTAGCTGTACATCCTAACACTCAGGCCCACCCATTGAAACCACAACATATTGTAAATAGATCAAAGCTTTCTAACAGGCTACTGCGGTGCTAGAAGTCCCGCCACAATGTCCGCTAGCGTCAGTGTCGTTGCTAGCTAGCCTAGCTAGCTCGCTGGTTAGCCGCATTAGCAGAAGCCGTGCCGCACTGATCCGTGCCTCTGCGTTGGATCGCAGCGTGCTCAATCCGTCGCTTCTTTCACAACGACTGGCTCGCACTGCAGTTGCCTGTCACCACTAGTTGTTTCCCAAACAATTTGAAGTGCTCCACCTCTTACGTAAACTTAGTTTTACTGCGCGTATTCTTCAGATTGAAAGGCGCTGCGTGTTAAGGCCTTGTCTCAGTTAGCCAGTGTCAGTGGAGCAGGTGGGAGGGAACAGCTGCTGCTTCCGACAAGGAAATCAGGTCTTTGTCGCCTTGAATAGTTGTTTATTTTTTGACACATTCATAGCACTAATAAAATGACAAGATTTGTAACTGTCTTGTCTTTTTTTAATTTGTTTTTGTAGAGGTATGTAGGTAGTAATATGTATATAAGCCAGCAATAGAAGCTGCATAAGAGAAAACGAAACCATAAACAATATTATTTCAGGTACTCAGATTTGAGGTAGTTTGTCAATAACAACCAATGCTTTATTTCTCAGGTGAAAAATGTGTGTCTCTAAAACTAATCTACAAACTAATTTAACAAACCATACAGCAAATACTCTATACCCTAAGAAAGTTTTTTTATTCATAACTTTTCTGTCTGTATTACTATTTATTATTTATGCATTATTTGTTAGTTTATTTTAGAAGTTTAGTTTTTTGTAAATTCAAAAAAAAAAAAAAGCAGTGTTATAAAATTAATCAGGAGCAGAGTCTTCAAAATGGTGATTGGTTGGAATCGGGGCTGCACAATATTAAAAGAACCTGTGAGGTGTAATATTTAATACTACACTAACAATAGAATGGTTAATATCCCACATTTTCCACTCATTTTCTCTTTTGTCATCACAATCCAAGCCAGGTGTGTGCATCGAGGCCATGAAAGTTTGTTGGATTAATCAAATGTAGCGTGCAGAACTTTAATCCATGGGGTCCCTGAAATATAACAGTCTCATTCATTGCAGTGTTTTGTGGCACTGATATTGTGCTCTCTGATACGGCAACTAGGATAAATGTTTTATATATATAAGCAGCCCTGGTTGTAACATCATCTCCTCCTAAATAAACGTCAGATTAATTAAACTGAACGTGCTGAATAAAGTTCCTAATGTTCTTGTGTTGATTTGCATCGATTTAGACAAAAATGTTTTTATAGTTACCCCTAAATAATCTTACTGTGTATGTACTTTTTTTCCTTAAATTAATTTGTCATTGATAATATGCGTAAAAAAATGTCAGCAAACAGATCTATGACCAGGAAATGGCTCACTGGTATAAGTTATCACCAATAAGCCACTGACAGACCATTCAATCTGTGTCATTGGTGTATTTATTATTATTATTATTATTGTTATTATTATTAAAATGTTGTTTTTTACTGAATGCATTTCGAAAAATGTCAGGCTGTAATAATTTTTCAAACAATGTTTTGGCTAGCTGTGACATCTAGTTGTTTGCCTTAAGTAATTTGGTGTGTTTTGTCTTAATATAGACATAAATTAGGCATCTAAATGAAGCTTTGTTATTTCCAACTTCTTTATGCACCGTTTCTGTCCCACTTGCAGCTATGAACAATGACCATAGTTGACAAGTCGTCAGAAAAGTCTGACCACGAGTCAGTCGGGTTTAACCGCTCCTCCTTCACAAGCGGAGACGTGGGGATGGACGGCAGTTGTTCCAGCAGCTGGGCAGTGGGTCCCACCATGCCCAGCGACTCTCCACGGCTCAAGTCTCCAGGAGGCTGTCTGGGTCCGACCCCCGGTGCTGCTGTCTACAACAGCACACCCTCCTCTGTGGACCGGCCCAAGGACCAAGGTATGCAAAACGACTTTCACCTGCTGCATTTTTAATGTACGCACGTGTGTCATGAGCTGCGAGGTGGGACGTTGTTTACAGACKATGACTCTGGTAACTCTGCATTAGTCAATAAGAGAGCAAACACAAGAGTTACACAACCATGAATGTCAAAGAGTACAAATACACAAGCTGTGTTTTTTTTCTCTTGAGTTAGTGGAAATGTTTTTAGGATCAATAAAAACATTTTTCAGAAATGTGTATTTTAAGATAATTTTTTACAAATTAAGCATGTTTACTGACGTCTGCAAGTAAATTGAGATCACTTCTGTAAGTGCTGCAATTAATGAGGTCTTTTTTTGGACTCGTCGTGTTTTTATGGGTGTTTTGTGGCTGATACATTTTTTCATTCATTCATTACATAACCCATCCAGAGCTTGATCAGTCACTTTAATTCGTCTTGTAGTTGGCAGATCAAAAACAAACTTAAACATAATCAGACATGAACAAGATTAGGGCTGCCACAAACAATTATTTTTGCAATCGATTAATCACCGACTATTTTTTCGATTAGTCGACTAATCAGATCATACGTTAATTGAATATAAACACCCAGCTTATCGCGCCAGAATACAGCTGCTATTATATAACCATGGTTAGATTCTAGCTATATGCTAACTAAAAATAATTGCTGTGGAAGGCAAGTTCTGCTCTGCAGATATTGCACTGGTTTCTCTTTCATTTTCTTAAAATAATCCCACACTTTTGAGCTCTGTTGTCAGGTAGCCATGATACCAGAGCCTGTCTGTATAATGTCTTGTGACGTCCACGGCCTACCCCAGTTACCACTACTGTTCATGTGTGTCAAGGACAGAAAGGCAGATGTGGCAGTGGAAGGTGTCAAAGCGGTTTGGAGAGAAAAACAAAGTAAAGAACAACAAAAAAAAGAAAACGATTAATCGATTATTAAATTAGTCATTGATTATTTTAATAATCGATTAGTCGTCGATTAATCGACTTATCGTGGCAAGATAAATTTAACTTTAAGGCTCATTTGTTTAATTTTATGTAGTAATAGAAAGAAAACTGTCGATGTTGCGTTTAGAGTTGACGTGTTGAGATCTGTAGAATTAGTGAGGTGAAGTTGATGAAAAGCTGACATGGAAACTTCATAAATTATTTAAGAATAAAAATAACTTAATCTATCACATTAGTGTTATTTTTGTTATTTGTAGCTTATTATTGTTTGGATTTATTCTTGGGGAAAAAGGGGCAGATAGAAGATTTTACTTCTTTCTGCTGCCTTTATTTCACTTTATTTGTGAATTGCTTATATTTTTACAGTTTTTTGTACGTTTTTTCTTTTATGGAATTTATTTTGTTTTTAAGCAATGAAAAAAGTCTTTCAGTAATAATTTTTTTTATTATGTGTGCCCAGTTATAAGCAGTGGGGATGGAATCGACATGCCCCAGAAGGTCCTGTTCCCTCCAGAGCGACTCAGCCTGAAGTGGCCACAGGTTCACCGTGTGGGTGCTGGCCTGCAGAACATGGGGAACACGTGCTTCCTCAACTCAGCCCTACAGTGTCTCACCTACACTCCACCGTTAGCCAACTACATGCTGTCAAGAGAGCACTCCAAAACATGTAGGTTTGCAGGGTTATTTTAGTTAACTAAAACTAACGAAGTAACGAAGACTAAAATTTAAAAAGCATTTTAGTTAACTGAAATAAATAAAAACGAAAACAAAATTGAAGAAATTAATAACTAAAACTGTATCATCTTTTTACAAAACTAACTAAAACAAACTGAAATTATTGACAGAATATCCTTCGTTTTAGCTTTTGTCAATTTATTTTAGGGCATGTGGACTGATTAAACAATTATTTATTTATTTTCTTACATCGAGCAGTTTCACGTTAGCTGCGGGCGACTTACGGCACCTCATGGTCCATTTGTTTACAATCTGCTGCTGCTCAGCGCATGTCTGCAACACGACGACAACAAAAGTTGGGAGAAAGCGGCAAAGTCAAATTTGGGATTTCTTCTAACATGACTGCGAGAAAAATAAAAGCAGGTGTCTTGTGGAAAAAAAAAGGCAATAAAATGGGTGGAATACGTCACAAGGGGGAAAAAACACAATCAAGCTCACCCAAGACGGCTAACTGTGAGTATGTTGATAAGCTAGCTTCTCTCAGTAGCTCTCAGCAGCCCAGCCAGGTATCACCAGCATGYAGAAACAATCGTCACCTTCTGAAAATTATTACCCCAGTCCTTTGTTGGCAAAACTGAGTTACGTGATAATTTTAGGAAAGTGTTGCTATAATGGATGAATGGGACGTGTCCCCAACAGTATTGGAGACAGGTGCATTCCAGCACAAAGCCACCACCAGCAAAAAAGACTGAAACAGCAGCAGCAGGACTTATTTGTTTTTGTTGTTTTTTTTTTTCAGAGTAACACCGGTGAATACACCTGATCATAGTATATCAACATGTGTGACATTATATTAGATATGTGCAAAAATGTCTTAAAAGGAGAATCATGGTAGTTTAGAGTAGTGAGACATTTGAAGCAATAAAAGGTGGAGAGATGGAGGAAGTTCAGGTGAGGTCTGAAATTAGTTTAGTGAAATATGTATRAGCTTGAAAAATAGCYTGAAATAGCATAGCATGAAAAATACAACTTCACACCTCTTCAAGTACATTAGTCAACAATTATTGTGCATCAAGAAGTRRTTTGCGGTATGAATATTGCACACACTGACATTGTGATGACAGTATATTCGTTATGCTGTGCAATCCTATTAGACTTGAGATATTTTGTTGGGTGGTTTACCCACTTCCCCATTTATCCAAGAAAAGATGCWATAGCTTTGCAGTGTAGTTGATTTATGACATAGTTCTGCTCAGACTATGTACAAATCTGTCAGGTTTCCAATATTATGTGTCCCCGACAACAGTAAACTCATTCCTGCACCCGTGGCTGCTGGTTAGTTAACTCAGAAACACRACAAGCAGGAGGATTCATTGGCAAATACATTTTTTTAATCTACAAGAAAACTAATACTAGAACTAATAAAAACTAAACTAAAATAAATCTAAGCATCAAACAAACAAAACTAATAAAAACTAGCAAATCCACTGTAAAAACCAATAAACACTAACTGAATTAAAAGAAAAAAAAGTCAAAATGAAATAAAACTAAACTATAATGAAAAATCCAAAACAATTATAACCTTGGTAGG